GAGCAGACTGGCCAATCTGCCCACAGCTGGGGCCTTGATGTCTGGCCAAGTCACGAGCACCAGGTGCTGGCATATGATGAGTGTGCTCCATACAAACTTCACTGCATGCACCACAGGCACTGGATTTCATTTGGGTCTTTAGATGCCTGATTGTTATCCAGGCTGCTGCAGATCACCTCCACCACTGCTAACTCCCTCAGAGACTGGATACTCTCAGTGGTTGTCCACTCTTGCCTTAATAGTTTACAAGACTTTCTTCAAGGGGATACTTCTTCACACTCAACACAAACTGCCTCCAGAGGCTGCTGATTTTTGCTCCTTTTCCAATCCTTTTGTTGATCCCCCATTCCCTTGTGAGGCATCCCAGCTGCTGGGCTGCCTTGCTCTCTAATTCCTGACTGTTGGCTCCAGTACCACAGCACTGCAGCAGCCAGCTGATAATTAGCTCACCAGGCTGATGGCTATAATATTTATGTGTACCTTGCAGCTTACTCAGGGATAAGGAATTGATGATTTCTGCCTTGTTCGTGATTTCTGTCTCTTTCCCCTCCTGCTCTTGTGACTGTTCTGCTGCACAACAGGCTGCCTCTCCAAATCCTCTTACTGCAGCTTCTTGGGAAAGGCTTTCCCCCTGACTGAGGGAATTTACTTCTGCCTCTATTGTTTCTTTGTGACAACAGGGGTAACTGATAGAGTTGAGAGGTGGGTGTTTGGCTTAGCCGTGGTGCTTTCTGTGTGTCTTCAGACACAGAGACCATCTCTGCCCTCTAAGGGTGCTGAAGAGCTCTTGGCAGGGTTAGGCCAGGCCCAGCAGAGTGTGAGAAGTTGTGTCCCTTTAGCACAGCCAGGGCATCCTTTTGTCAAGTGTACTGTCACTTCTTCAGGATCCTGCACTTGTTTGGCAGTCAGGTTCCACATGATCAGAGGTAAAAAACTGTTCTAGATACCTTGCCACCCATGACCACACAACCTCAGGGCACATCTCTGTGTGATATTCCTACTCAGTTAATCCTAGGAAAAGCTGGATACAGATTCTTGAGATACACTGATGTGAACATTCTGATTACCCAGGAGTGTTCAAAATATGGAGGAGTCATTGTAACAAGCTGGAAAGCAACCCTGCAGGAGGCAAAGAGAGAGATGCTGTTGTTTCTTCCACAAACTGTGTTTCAGAGGAAAGGAGAGAAAAGGTGTAATTGTTAATTATCTCCACGAGATGGTTCCCAAAGTACTGGGACAGCAGCAACGCACAGCCCAAATACCAGATTAGGCTCAGGGCCAGTGCTTTCATCATAGTTCTCCAAGGGAAAACACAACCAAGAGCTACACAGCACAGCAAACTGCAAAAGACAAACCCAGCTTTCAACAAGCTCTCAAATTGTCATGTTTACTCTTGAGCAAGACAGGGAGTGGGTAAGGGAACAAATGAACCTGCATCAAGAGTGAGTAAGTCAACATCACAACCAGCAATAGCTAAACAGGCATAAAAGGTTCCTTCTAGCACACTCTGGTAAAACATTATCTTGAGCCCTAAGTGTCCATCCTGGGTACCAAAAAGATTTGTGTTGGACACCAGCTAAGCTGCTTAATCAGTGCCCCCCACCATGGGATGTGCTGTGGGTTTTTAGTTCTGTACAGACAAAGGATGGATGCAGTCCCTCATAGAGGGATTTTCTGGGCTGAGATGAAGCACATCTGGGGTTAGACATGCCCAACCAAGTTCAATGTGGTACATCCCACCCTCTGTGCCCAGCACAGAGGAACAGGGAGCAGCATTCCTCTCTATCCAGCTGAGGCAGTGTGAGGCCAGAGGCAGGCAAACAAGGGCTTTTTGTATTTGCATGACTTGCTGCTTTACTAAAAGTAAATGCAAAATCATTCAAAGAGATCAAAGAGTGATCTCCCTCACAAGCAGGTGAGGGAGATCTGAAGAGTATAAAGGTAGCCTACTAAAAGTGCCTTAAGATTAAAGCCCATTTCCCCATGCTATTTGCTGGTGCTTCAGCTCAGTGGGCATGAGTGGGGGCAAGGAGACTCTCAGACCAGAAGAGAAAGAGCTTTTTACTGAACTGCTTCTGTTCCTGGAACAATTTAAGGCTACAATCCTAAAGGTCAAAGATATTGTGGGAAACTGGAATTGATGTCACCAATAAAAGATACTATTTTAGTAGATCCTTTAAAAATCCCTAACCATTAACAGATAGAGAAGTGTCCCCACACTCTACCCAAGAGAAAAGCAACAGTGAGAAAATCTGTTGGTTGAGTAAAAGACAATTTAATAGATAAAAGGGGAAGAAATGAAAACCAAACCATGAAAAACAAGCAAGGAAAAAGTAATCACTACCAGTCGATTGACAGTCCCCAAACAACAGACCCCTGCAACATCCCCCCTCCCCATTCCCAGTTTTTATTACTGAGCATGATCTTGTACAGCACAGGCTATCTCTGAGGTCAGCTGCCCCAGCTGTGCCCCCTCCTGCCCCCTGCCCACAACCTGCCCTTCACTGGGTGTCAGAGTGAGGAGCAGAGAAAGCCTTGGTAGTGTGCAAGCACTGCTGAGCACAGCAGGTCAGCAACACTGTTTTAGTTACAATTCCAAAGCATGGGACTGCATAGGATACTAACAACAAAATTAACGCCATCACAAGTGGGATGCAGTAGATCAGGATAACTTTTTTATTTTAATTTGGTTTAAAAAGCAGCTGGGACCTCGTCCTGTATTTTGTGCATCTGTGGAATGGTGCAGCAATTCCACAGTGGTGATAGGTTCAGAGGAGCAGCCACCAGGAATGTCTGGTTGAGTAGCTGGGTGACTGAAGTAAATGGTGTGAATGCCTTCCTCAGACCACAGGCCTCCCTCTCCCTGACCTGCTTTAGAGGTAGGTGGGGACAAGGAACCAAGGAGATAAAAATAAGACCATGACCAGACCAGACCAGCCCTAAGGTTACACATTGCTCAGAAACTGTATGAGGTGTGAGGGGTACATTAGTACACAGCAATGATTAATTCACTCAGGAGTCTGACAGATAGGTACAATACTTTGCTTGTAGTTTACCTAGAGGAAACAAGACAACAAAAATTTCTGAAGAATTACAGGCAAATACCTTAAATATAAGATTACTTGATAATATTGGTAAGGGATAATTCACGTTGTTTGTTTGGTATTTTTTAAAATTAAGGTTGAATAATTCAAGAGCAAATCAAAACATTCTGGTGATAAAGATACAAATAAAAGTAATTAATTTTTGGTGATTCCCCTTTACTGGTAACAAGTACAAATAAAAACTTGTACTTGCATGAAAAAATAAACGAGGTGTACATAGTTTTGCAGTATGTTTGGTGTTTCTTTCACATAGCTGAGGTGAAGTGACTCAGAATATCTCCAGCAACCCAAGCTTTTTGCAGCCCTAAATCATTATGAACCAATTAACACAGATGTAAAACAAAGAAAAGATGATGAATGACTCTTACTTCATGTAATGTGCAAAAACAAGAGCCAAAGAAAGCTGAAATGTGACTCTGGTTGAACTTAGGTAGTTCTTTCAAGCACATTTTTTTATTAGAACTTCAGGGAACTTAATGGGTAAGTGCCTGGAATAAACCATGCTTCTCAGTGGTTCTCTTCTGTCTTCAGCCCTCCTACTGCAGTAACAACAGTAACTCAGGGAGAAGTTCCAGAGTCTTGGGAAGAGAGAAAATGCCAGGGCAGGAAAGAGAGAAAGTGCAAGAAAGAAGGGGTCTGGTGTTGAAGTCACACTCCAGAACAAAGCGAGTCCTGAGTTCTGGATGGTGCTCCTAAACAAAGATGGGGACACAAGGTTGCTTATTATAAATAAAATATCATGGTACAATGTGGGCAGAATGTACACAGAATATTATGTACATTACACAGGATGTATTTTCAGTGTATTTTTAGAGGCTAGAGTTTTTATTTATATTTTGCATTTGGTGGAATGCAACACTCTGATCTATGACAAACAAGCTGTGCAACGGGGAGGGAGCACAGGGGGAAAAGGAGGGAGGAGAGAATTTAACAGAAATAACTCCACTTAGTGTTTGACTGAGGGATGTAATGAAATCTGTTTGCTGTGCTAGCTGTCTCCAGATTGGGCTGTAATTACACCACAGAAGGAAGAAAGGTAGCTGAGTCTCAATCTAGATCATTTATGTAAACTCAGCCTTCTTGTCAACGGCATTCTCAGATTGCACGAGTGCAAACCACAAAAATCATCTCCTATGAACAAAACAGAGACGGTCTCAAATTGCAGGCTTCTGATACACCTTATAAGCCATCTGTAATTGGACTTGAAACTCCAACACACTGAGGTTCAAAACTTCTCCAGTATTTTCTGTATTTTATTCAGTGCAGTGACTACTCACAGAGGAGCATTCCTGCTTCCTTTTTGCCAAAGGCTGATGTCTAGCCTTACAAATTAACATTTATCTGGCTTAAATTAACACAAGTGTCACAAACATAGGAAATTCTTTTGTGTAGGACTCTGTTGAAACAAACTGCTGGATCCGAGGGAGGGATATTCCCTCCCCCAGAAGAGTTGGAAAAACCTCATTCTTTGACCCAGAGCAACATTTTACATAGGCACAGTATAAACTCCAGGCACTCAGTTCCCTTAACAGAGCCAAATTAATATTTGATTAAATATTTTAAAGCTCCTACTTACCATGCTTGACACATTTTCTCAGCAAGTTTCTCAAATACAGAACTCATTAGGCACAGGGTATTTTTACATTTGAATACATAAAAAGAGTGTGAGGAGACATAACTGCGTGCAGACAGAGAGGGGTTTTCCCCCATTAATCCCCCAAACTGCCCTTCCCCTTGGATACGGGTATGTTAATTCCCGGCTTCGGCAGCTCACTCTCTCTGGACAAGTTTGAGCGGGTTTCTCGTGACACCTGGATCTTCACGCCCTTCCATCCATGCCTCCCTCCCTGCATCCCTCCCTCTGGCAGGAAAACCACCGGCCTCCGCCCTGGCGCCGTCCCCGCTGGTGCCCAATCAATACCGCCTTATTTCCTGTCCATTTGCTGAGGTCACGGAAACGGGACTCATTAATTATTTCTACCGGTGCAGCCTCAAGTGCGCTTCTGGCACGACAAGCGAAAACCGTCTGTGACCTTTTTTCTTTCCTCTCCCGAATTTTGCTGGTGGCGGCGGCAGCGAGGGCGCGTTCCTCTGCCGAGACGGGATGAGGCGATGGGAGGTGTGAGGCGGCACCGGTGTCCCCGCCGGGCCGCTTCCACCTGAGGAGGGAGAGACGCTCCTGGCGGAGCAGCAGGTCAGGGAAACCTGGTCACGGCGTAGACGATGTTGGCCAAGGCATCCCTGGCCTCCGAGGGAGGGAATCGCTCCAGGGCTGCCAGCGCTCTGTTTCCGTGGCAGCGGCAGAGGTCGATGGCAGAAGTCACACCTTTGCCAGCCTTGATCGCTTCCTGCAGCTGTTGGAAAACACAGGCACATCGGTGAGGGGGGTGTTTCAGCCGTGCAAAGTTATCTCTGCGAGCACAGGGCTTCTGCCGCCTCTTCCCGAGGTAAAGGCAAAGCCAAAGCCATCACACAAAGCCCTGAAATCCTCTCAGCTGCTCTGTTTAGCTCCCTACCGCAGCGAAACTGTGTATAATGTAAACTACACCACCCGGTACTTCATCACATGAAAGATGCTGGCTCTCCAAAGGGCACGCTTAAACTAAAAAAATAAAATTAAACTTTTAAATATCTGAACATTTGATACCTCAGCCAGTGGCTGAGAGCTTTTGTTCAGAACTGGCAAACCAGCCATTTGCTCACACTCCTGTTTTCTGCAGTGAAAATCTGCATTTTGTGAACACCCATTCCATCCCCTGCTTTCAGAAAGCACCATAGGACGACACAGGTGGAACGACTGTATTTCGTAATGGGGGTTTCTATTTATAGACCATGTGATTACATTGCTCATAGTGGACAAAGGCAAATTTTGTCAGTAAAATGTGGTAAACTATCATAATGAACTCATGCAAACTTATCAATAAGGCTAGGGAATTTGACAAAGGCTCGGGGATACACCATATGAGAAAGAAAATACTTTCATGGAATAACCGACATTTCACAGCAAAAGATTTGGCACCTAAAAAACTTTGCTGGAAAGATTTGGCACCTAAAAAACTTGGGTAAATGATGGGTTAAATTTCCTGTAAAATAATACAGACAAAATTGACAAAATAAAGCATGCTATTTTGCCAATATCTGAACTTAGCAGAACTCTAAACAGCTTTTATTAAGTGCTTTTTTATTTTTAATTAGTATTTTCTTTTTGAACAACATAATGAGACTATCATGAAACACTATTATATTTTCTACTCTAAAACGCAGGTGTTCCCAGATCAACTCCAGCCTGATGCCTCATCCAAGAGCCTGGGAACAAAGGCCAGATGGATCTTTGGGATTTGATTTTTCCAAAAGGATTACAGCATTTCATGATCTTTAATGTGCCCTTCATGGCTTTCACAACTGTCTAACACCATTGCACCAGCTTTTTTAAAAAAAGGCTTTTCTTGGATTCAGGTACCTACAGTAACAAACTATACAGAGTTTCCTAAGTCATGTTTTTCATCAATGTTTTCACAGCTCAGTGCCCAAATTATTTAAAAATACATCACTATGACCTTACCTATCCAGTTTAAATAATAGGATAGGTATTTATATTCATATCTAGGATTTTTTAAAGACATGTATATATATATAAAAAATACATATCTTAAAAAAAATCCTAGATATGACCAAATCATAAGTCACCCATTTTCTATACGTACTTGCATTCATACAGAATGATTGATGCTTCTTATCTGAAAGTAGATTCATTATCTGTATTTAAAGATGAAATTAGCTGAAAGCATATTACAGCACTTGAGTGTTCAAGTCCCAGTTCATAAAAATTTTATTCTCCTCTTCGGTTGGAATCTTTCTGCACTGTGTGCTGGAAAGGAACTTGCCCTGAGGCATAAATGCATCACACAGCTAATTCAACATGTCTTCTAATGAGTGGGAATCACCCTATTTCCAGGGCTCTGCAGCAAAGGTGAGGATAGGTGAGATGAAGTGCTCTAGCAGCGTGCAAAGGTGTCCCTTCCTCTTCTTTGAGGCACAACCTTGTGGGACAGTAGAACCCCATACATCTTGAAGTAAACTCTGCTGATTTGCTAAAGCTTATTACAAAGGATTAGCATAACTTCTAATACTCATGGAAGTATATACTGGGACGTAAACAGGAAAGAAAACAGCTCCTATAAAGCCTTCAAATTGGTGAAAAGCCAGAGAAGCTTAGCTTAGACATATATATGCTCACATATATGTACCATGACTGAGTTGAAAGAGCAGAGTCTGGAAAGGGGCAGAATCCTAACACAAGGACACAATCCCTTTACACGCCTGTCTTGTGTAAGCCCTCAGACACACGCACTGCTTTGAAGCCAATACAATCCCAAAGCTCATGTCAAACTATAGGCAGAGGAATCACTACACAATAATCAGACTAATCTGCTGTTGAATGTTTCCCAGCAAAGTTCAAGGAACCTCAAAATGGAAAATACCTGCTTACATGGACAGCTTTTCAGTTAGAGATCCTCCTACGTTACAATTCATAGGCCTCAAAACGTACCTGGTTTGTATTCCCTTTGCAGAAGCAGCTGGTCAGCTCAAATAAGCATACACAGAGGCAAAGCAGTCTGAATTAACCAGACTACACACTAGCTCTATCTCAGCAGGGGTTGTAAAAGGGAAAAAAGAAGTAAAAATATGGCTTTTTGTAGTGGGAAAGTTCTTAAAGAAATACAGGAACTAACTCTGTAACAAACCAGGCTTCAACAGCTCTGCTATATGCAAAAGCCCCCTAATTTAAGACTTTAGTTGTACTCTTGGTTATATTACAGTTACATTTTCAGACTCTGTCTCTCAGATTTTGAGCTTCAATAATTTTATGTAATGAACTTCACAAACTAAGGAAACAGAAGAAAAAAAAATCAATGTACCAAGTATAGATGCATTGTTTTTAAATTTGGATAGGAGCAGCTGATTTTTACAGCAAATGAACAGAAAAGCAGAATTTACTGCTTTGATTTTTTACTTTATAAACTTTATTTAAACTGCCTCATTGATTTCTTCTAAATATAAGAATCTGCTCTTTTAGTCTCTACTTATATGGCATTTTTAATTTTGTGCATATTTCCACTTGTAGGAACAATTTAATCCACACAACCTTCTTCAGAATGATATTCAGTAATTAAAACTGAATACAAGTCAAAACACAGATTGCTTAGCTACACTTTTCTCCAGTTGAACTGCTAGATATGCTGGAATACTGCATTTTTGCTTTTAAGCTTTTGTTCAGACCATTGGCATTAAAGCCTTACTTCATTCTAGAAGTGCCAAGACTCTGAAAAAATCACCAACTGGGTTTTGGTTATTTAAATTCAGCTTAAAGAATAGTCTTGCAATAGCACAGCCAAGCTGGGGCTCAGATGAGATGTGATCTCCTCCACCACGTCTCTGCACTGTTTTGCAATCTGCGCCCTTGCAGATACTCAGAACTTCACTGAGCAAACCCACACTGGCTCTGCTTTGAGTGAGAGGCTGGACCAGACATCCCCCAGAGATCCCTTCCAGCTTCCAGTACTGTATGATTCTGTGAAGAGACTTCCAAGTACCATGTTTCTCAGTCTCTTTGTTTTAAAAGGGCAAAGAGAGGGCTTCTCATCCATACCACAGAAGTGAAGGATTTGCCTTTCACACCAAGTGCTCTGGATTGCTGTTGGACAGAACAGCTGGTCTGAGGGCAGCAAGAGGTCAGAGAGGAAAGCTAGGAACTGCTGGATTTTGGAGACTGAAGAATTAAAGGAGTCAAAAACTAAGCAGGTGTTCAAGTACAAAGTCAACTAATTTCAAATCTTCTCTGCTGAGACACTTCTGCTTCATGAGCCAAAGGAAAGATGATTGTTTTCACACAGTGCTACCTGTAGGGAGCAACAAATAGAGAGCATGGTGGGGAGGGGTGGGAAGACTCACTGAATATGTGCTGAATATTTTGGCTGTAATAGACTTTATATGCAAAGGAAGAAAGACAGCACTGAAATTCCTGATTTTTTTTTCCTTAGTCCAACCTAGGATTAATTATTTCCCATTATAATTATTTCCAATTAATTATTTCAGTGGCAAAAAAAAGTAACTTCAGATTTTTTTGTTGTTGTTTTAAAAGGATGATTCTAAACCAGATAATTTGTTATCTACTGAAATCTTTGAATATCACACATTCTCTCTGATCCTGAAGTGAGCTAAAACATTTTACATTTCTGAAGTGCACAGTACTTGCTGAAACAAAAAGAAACCCCAAAACCTAAATTGATTTGTGGCTGAGTGACAGAATAATGCTCAAAATGCCTGCAGTGTTCTGCACTGGCTTTCCTAAATTTGTTTTCCCTTTTGTGGGAGCAGCATGCCATGCTTAATAAGCACTGGTGTTTTAGACCACTGAAATGTTAACCTTAAAAATGTATCAACATATTTTATAGGTAGTAGATCAATTTTGTCAAATTTTTTCTTTGTTTTCTAAAGAAGTACTTTGGAATGTTTCAGCATCCATTCTTGTGGCTGGACATAGGGTTGAGCTCTTCCTTCTCAAAAATATCCTGCACAATCATTTATTTGCATCACTTCATAGCATCATAGGATATAAATTTATTTTTTAAAAAATCTTTTGTTTGCTATATGCAGCATGATATGCCAGCTGAAACTGGGGCAGTATTTATCAAATATTTCCTGAGAAACTTTTCTGTACAAAAGGTAAAGAAATGCATCTTCAAAGGGCCCAAACACTCTGCAAAAGCCTCCATTAATAGAGTAGAATTTATTTTCTTTATTCATCTGACAAACAGAAAAAATTTCTTTTTACTTCAAACTGAAACCCACACTATATATAGGATGAGACCAAATGTGGGGAGGGTCGTCCCCAACAGGAGAGGAAAGATGGCCTGCTTACAGGGAACACTGCTGTTACACAGCTCTTAAAATACTCTGCCAAAAAAATTACAAGCCATCCTGAGTCACTAATTGATTGTACAGATTCTTTATTATTTTGGCAGGGACACCAAAGCCTTTCTATGTCTTTCACAATGAACTAAACAAGACCCACTGTTTTTTAAATCTCAACAATGGTGGTTGTGAAGACTCTTCACCCAAAAGCATAATTTTCTTAAATCCCCCTAATACAAACAGTGTTTGTTAATTGTCATCTTAGCACAACAAGCAATCAACTTCATATTTATGTTAAAACATATTATTTGCTTTAATGAAACAAAAGTTATGCTGGATTTATACCCCAAAGAAGTGGGAAAATACCCACTGATTACAAACAAAGATGCAACTGATTGTTGGTACTGGATGTGCACCTTGATAATTCAGATATTAATTCCAAAAAATAAGAAAACTGCTTTATCTGAATGGCTTTGGATGCTTTTGTAATACTACTAACACATCTAAAAAGCCCCATTGACTGACTATGCTGTGTTTTTTATTATATGTAACAAAAGGAGCTAATGGCAGTGGTTGCTCCAAAACAAACAAGACAAATCTTCATGCAAAACCAAGAGGGTCCATAAGCATCTACAAACAACAACGCTCTGTTTTTACCTCTTTGCTGCATTTCAGGAGCAAGAGGGTGAGCAGCCTGTGGCCTACAGTCCCACGATGACTCCCTGGCATGTTAGCAAAGCCATGGGATGACTGTCCCTTACCCCACGGGGCTGCAGACCCGCAGCCAGCACTGCACAGGATGGCTGCACTCGCTGTGGCAGCCGCCAGTGGGCTGGGCAAGGGCAGCCTGCACCTCTGGCTGGCACCTCTGGCTGGCACTGTGCTATTGTTATTTATTAGCAGCATGGCAGTAGGCTACCGCTGAGAAACCTCCTTTTAGCCAAATGTGCCCTCTCCCATTTTTCTTCTCTTTCCCACCATCTGGGAAGTCAAGACTTCAGTGCCATGCAGTGTATGGACAGCTGGATCTGCCCCATCCTGACTCATGCCTTCCAGCACTGTACAAACTCAGCTCCTGGTGTTGATGTAGTGCACAATATTTCATACACAAACCAAGAAAGTATGTCATAGCACACCATGCCAGACTATGCCATGCTTTCCATGCCAGTTTGGATGAAAGGCCTCTATAACAGACAGCAGAGCAAATGGACAGGGATACAGAAAAAAAAAAAGGTTTTGCTACATCCTCTCTCACTTGACTTAATTTATCTTTTCTGAATATTGCATTTAGAAATCATTGCATAGCACAGTCACTGGCTGCAAAATACAAGATTTATTTCTTTATTTAGTATTATAATTTTTCTAGAGCCTTGGCCAGAAAACAAGAATTACTCCTAGCTTATTCATTTCTGCTACTAGTTGGGCCTTTGTTACACTCCTTTAACAAGCCTGTATAATGCCAAGCACTATTAAGGCCTCAGCTTTAGCAGAGAGTTTTTAATCAATATTATCAAGTGGAAACAATTACATTGAGAATCTCAATTTGCTGTTTGAGAATTACACAGCTTATCTTGCACACAAGGTATGTGTAACACAGATAAAGGTTCTTGATTTTAAGAAGCCTGAGATTTTTGCCACATACAAATGAGGAGGACAGGAAAGTTGCTGTTTCTTTCAATCACATACATGAAATTTGTCCCTTACATACATTGGTACATTCCTTTTTGTTATCTGAGACACACCACAAAAACAGCTGAAACAATTTTTTCATCTCTTTCAGAGACTTTCAAACACCACAACAATTGATCAATAATTTGCCTGGATGCGGTGTGATAGCATAGGAAAAAACAGAGTGAGAGTGAAACCCTCAGATACTAATGTGAGAAAACATATATTCAGAACACAGACAATATCAAAAATCTTTCTGATAAAAAGATTCAACAAAGCTGGGATGAAAAATCCCTAAAAAATTTTGCAAAATATAGTGACCTTATTGACCTGGTAGTCTCAGACCTAATCAAATTAATAGAAAGCTTTTCACATTATATTTGTGTCACAGACCTCACCAAATTTGCTAGTATGATGCAGCTATTTTTTTGTCAGTGAAAAAAATCAGGGGTTCCATTTTAATATAACATGCATCAAAAGAACAATTCAGAATTCTTAAGCAGTCTCAAAATTGAAATGAAACCTTCACCTTTTAAGAAGGCATGTTAAATGTGTGGATCTCAATTTCTCAAATTTACTTTCATTATTTTAATTGAAAATTAAAAGGTAAAACTTTCTTAAGTAGGCTAAAAACTTTTGTATACGTATATTATGAGTTTAACTAAAGGAGTAATATTTTTATCTCAATTAAGTGGCACACTGAAGTTCATAATAAAAGCTAAGAGAAGAAAAATAATCAAAATTTTCAAAAGTTTTACAGCTAGTTTTGGTGATCTTTGCTTTTACAAAACTAAAGAGGAGATATTTTGAAGGCTCAAAGAGACACAAGCTCCAAGATTTGATTATGAATATTAAAGCAACTGTATCAACTGAATAGAAAGATAAGAAGGGACTGTGATGCTGAGAAGAAAAGACTGAGCAATGTGCAAAGCACTGCCTGTGGTGATGGAAGAGGAAAGACGACAGAGCAAAAAGCAAAAAAATAAATACTGATTTGTACAGCACATCATGCCCTCTAACTGGCTGTGTGCATGTGCTGGTCAAGTTGTTCTGCTGGGGACAGCTGCATGTTGAGTTCATTTAGCATAGATGTAACATTATGACCACTTTTACTTTAAGCCAACAAACACAGAAAAGAGGGACATGATAGCCTAGGCTTTTGCAACCGACCTCTTGAAAAAAAAAAACAACTAGAAGTTGTTTGAAGTCACAAAAATCATGCACAATTTTTCATATCATTCACTTCATAATATCTGTGCTTGTGCAAGAGATAATTACCTAAAGCCAGCAAAAATCATGTGCTTTCTTGCAGAAGTCAATTGCTCAAAATACAAAACTTGAAGGGCTTTCTCTCTTTCTTTACCTTTTATTCAAGTGTCCAAGTAGCCTAAGCATAATGTAAGTTTTTTAAATTCATGTGAAGGATACAAGATCTGAAATAATTTCAGTCAAAATATAGAAGAGTCTGACACATGTTTGATTTAGTAAAGCAAATTTAGATGTTTTTCTTTCCCCTTTGCCTTTTTTTTCCAAAGTATGGAAATTATACTGTGTGGATTTGTGGAAATGACAATTGTGGATCACAATTATAACAATTAAAAGGAGAAAATTCGTTCTGGACTTGCAAAAGTAACCTAGGTTAAACATTCACAGGAGTGTCCCCAAGACATCTGAAGAATAAATTTGGTGCCCTCAGTGGTGATTTAGAAGAAAGAAAACTGATATAAATATGACTGGTACAGAGAGCAACCTAAAAGCATAATGATTTTAAATGGCAAAGTAAGTTAAGATCCCTCTGCTATTCTAAAAGGAAGGAAGGGCAGAGAGGCTTTTAAATAATCCAAATAGCAATTTTTGTTAATGCAGAATAATTACAATAATCTGACCCATACTTATGTGTTAGCCTTCCATATGAGCAGCAATCAGTCAGAGCTGTAACACTCTTCAGGCCCTACTTCAAGAAGCAATTCTCAATCATGCACGTGGCTCAGTAATTTATATATTATTTCCCACTGATGCTGGAGATAACTGACTGGACTTCATGATCTGCTTAAGACTCAGAACAAGTCAGGCTCATGCTCAGTGAGCTTGGGACACAGTGTCATCTCTCTCCATCACACATGTGCTGTGCTGCAATATTTAACCAGGGGAACCTTTCAGCCATCTCCTGCAGCCCTTTGAGAGTTTCAAAGTGTCCCAGCTACTTCCAGTAAAGCTCCTTAGTTGAGGTCTCCTTTTATTATAGAGAAGTAGCAAATACAGTGCTGTAAAGTTAGAAGTTGTAATGGGGCCTGGAAGAAAACAAATTATTGTATTTGTGTATTTTTAATAGATGGCATGGAACTAAGGAGAGATTAAAAAAAAATTAGCAGTGTACTATACCAATAGAGAGAGACCACTGATAGGATCTAAACTGCAAGTGACTCCAGGAAAAAAAGACAGCAAAAGCCATCAGAAGGCTGGTTTGAAAATTGAGTTTGGGGAAGCAAATGGGAGAAATGACAGTTGAAATAATTATTCAATAATGACATTATTAAATTACTATTATTAGATACATTATTAAATTACTATTATTAAATAGCTACAATGTATAGTTACAGTACAGCTGTCTATTAATGGCTTTTTAAAATCAAGAAATTGCAGGAGCCATTCTCCCTCCCTTCATATACCACATATAACTTACAACCTCGTTTAATAAGGAAGTTTCTCTCAGCTGTCAAGAATATTCTTGAAAATATTTAAAAAATATTAAAAATGAGACATAAATGTAATTTACCAACCTTCTTATAGTCCACAATGTTTCCTGTTCCTTGTGCCTTAAAAAGAAAGAGATTTTTTATCAGACACTACATACTACAAACCAGAGTTGCAAGAATAAAGAATGCAATTAAATGAGCTACTACTTTGAACATTACTTACTTTCTTTAGGAATCTGATACAGAAAACCCTAAAATACAACCAAATGTGTTACCAGCTTACACAACATGGTTCTGTTTCAGATGAGAGCTGCAGATACTCAGTGTAATTTTTAGACTTTTTTATTATGACTTGTAGTTAAACATTTGGTGAATCCAAAATGTTTTGGTCTTGAGAAATCTTGCTGTTTGCATTAATTAATCTCTCCCATGAGATTCTGTAATAAACTCTACTTCCTATCAGCAATAACAGGATTTACTTTCTTAAAAAAGAGAACTCTCTGTATATCTATACTGTCTAGCATGAGGCAATAGTCTAGAGCCCCCAAAAGGGTTGTTGGACCCTTTCAGAGCTGTGACCAGGCTGGAAGGGCTTTTGATTTAAGTATCAGCATCACCTTTTGAGTAAGTGACAGATAAATACAACCTGTAACTCCTAATACATTCAGAAAGAAATACAAACAAATTTTAAATTTCTTCTTGCCCAGATGCAAGCAAATATGCTGTCCAACTTTCTGATTTTTGTCACAGAATGATGTAGATGTCTTTCTCACTCGTGCTCTGACAGAACCAGATCATTAGCACTTAACCAACCTGAAAACCTTTCCCTGAGATCTGATCTGGATGTGCCATTATCACTTCATCTAACACCAGCTCTTCTCTTTCCAGATTCATTGAGGAAAAAAAAATCTGTTTCTTTCTCTCTAGCTTCCTCAAGGGAAGATCCCAAACCTCAATTCTTCTGCAATGTGTCTCCTAAAAAGATGTAGATTAGGACCACTACCTCTCCATGTCCTCTGTGGGGACTTCAGAGATCAGCCCAACTGGGATAATGAATGAGAAGAGCTGAGACCTGCCCTGAAGAGGAACACTGTGTGGCAAGCATAGCTTCAAAGAGATGTTGCCAAGCTGGCCCAGACTTAAAAAAATTAATTAATCTTTGTAAAGGAGGAAATATAAAATAGAGAAAAGAACTGATGAGAGACTAAACAAACTGAACATGAAGGAGAACAGTAGATAACAGAACTGATTTTTCTGAAGGATAAAGGGGATTGATCCACAAAACCCCTTTGCTTCTCTCTTTAGTCTTCTCAGGAGCCAGCTTTTCTGGAATATATGTTAAGACAACAGCCTGATAGCATTTGGGAGTAGCAAAACCACTGCCAATTACTGCTTCCTTATTTGTATATTCCCATCTTCTTTGATTTGTCAATTTTTATTCACCTGATTGGATCTTACAGCTGCTTCAAAATATATGTAGTAGTTATATTTTATATTAGAACACCAGAAACATGTTCCTTAACAAGTGATTGCCTACATGCAGATTCACACTGCAGCCGAGAATCTGACAAGGTGTTTGAGGAAGATGCTTTTCAGCTGCAGCAACAGCAGGAAAGGTGTGCTCAGTGTGCCTCCTCCTGTGCTTATTCTCATTACCAACAGCAAAAATATTTTCTCATGATCTGCTCCTGTCAAGCATTCAAGTCAATGGCCGTTGTGCTCCTCCAGGCAGCAACCTCACAGTCTCCTAAGCCTTCTTTACTACAACTGCACCGTTGCTTTTTTTCCTTTTTTATCCTCACAGTAGTACTTTGGCTCTCTAACTTTTTCTGACCCTCATCTCAGACACACAGATGTTTTTTTAACCTTTTACATCAGACTTGCTCAACTGGTTAAGCTTGTGACAGGGCCTGAGTGCACTGTGTGTGCTTTACCTATTAAAACCATACAAATGACATTGCATGAGAGGGTGGCTTAGGAGTGCACCCTTATGAGCACTGGCAACGTAAGGAAGTCTCTGGTTTGAGAGCTTGGCCTACACTGAATGTCACATAGTGAAAGTGACTGTGGGTGATATCTCAAAGAGCATGACGTTAATCAAAGATAACTTTCCTCTCTAAACCAGCACAAGTCAAGAAAGGCTCCTGGACTAGGTGTTCCATATTGTAGTTGGCAGTAGTGGTAGCTTAGTAAATACCATGTATAAAGTATGTGTATAATAAATAAATGTATGAAGTATAGCAGTACTAGTAGATAGCAAATACTTTTGCATAGTCACTTGGCACCCCCACCCTTTTCACACAGAACTGCTTCATTGTTTCCATAATGCCCATTTTTGGTACGGAAATTTAGTAAGCAGACAGACGGCACTCCTGGAGTCCTGCAACCTCCTCTAGATTCTGCAGATGGGAAATTGTTTCAAAGCTTTTATACACTGTGCTGTGGAAATGCCATTATTCTCCAACTGCAATAACCCAAATCCATTTACATTCCACTCACATATGAGCCTTGTGTTGTGACTGTTGAGTTCCAAAAATCCTCATCATGCTTTATGAACTGCTAGTCCCTAATTTCAAAGTGACAATAAGATTTCTGCATTTTAAGATCCCTCCACTCTATACCACTGTAGGACAGTAGATTCTGCATACACCTCCCAAAATCTGAAGAGGCTGAAGAGACCATGCCTCTTGCTTGCAATATGTGAAGACAAGTTAGAACACAGAACTAGGCAGAGGTTTATATTCCACATCCTGCACCTGATCCTTGCTTTCAAACCAGCAGAGAAGGGAGCCATCAGCAAGCACATCTTGAATGAATTTGCTTGCACAGAGACAGCTTCTTATTGAAGGCAGCAGCCTTTCTAACAAACTGTATAACAACAAGCATGAATTTCCAAACGGCAGTCATCACTGTTGTTTAGACAGACAAAACACGTCCAACTGATGCAGGAACTCAACAGAATGCTTAATTTTGGCCATTTTGGTTCTTCCTCCTCCCCCTCTCCCTTCTTGCTGTCTTCTACAGTTATCTATTTGTGCTTCAGCAACATTCAGGGAGCTATTCATGGACTTGAATCCTGCTGCATTACATGACAATTACCACGTAGTTATTTTATTCTTATTGTCTTCCTCATGTAAAAATTAGAGGAAAAAAATAGGTAAATAAGAGAATTAAGAACAAGAGTATCAGACAGCTAGATCTCAAATCTATTTTGTGACGGTCAGAAAGCCAAGCCCCAAAGATCTTTCCCCTTCCATTGAAAATTACTACTCCAGCATAATTTTGGCAGAAGGAAATACGTGCCTACCTTTCAACCACAGTGATGGTTGAAGTTCTCTGCTTTAAGCTGCCAGTAAAAGTAGCTTTACTAAGACCCGGGACTGCACAAGCAGTGCAGAGGAACGCACATATGCTCCACACAAATGAATCTGCCTTTTACACTGATATACAAAAGTCTGACAGAGCTTGACTGTCAGGTCCCTACATTTCCCCTCGCTTAAAGTGTGGATGAGAGAGTTATTAAGCACTGCAGAGCATAGGGAAACCTCTTTTTAATTTCTAAGTTCCTGTGCAGATTGAAAGTACAGATAGGAGGATATAAACAAATGGTAAAACCCAGAAATTCTAAACAGTGCTTTATTTTACCTCTCTAATCTGTTTAAGCCATGCCTCCCTTCCACGGAATTCCTGATGAAGGATTGCAGGAGCAGAATTCAAACTGAAGGCCATGGTGTCACTAGAAGTTTCTTTAACAAATGGCTGCAGGTCCGAATGTAGCTGGAAAAGAAGAACACACACACATTCAGTTCCCAGGAACAGTCTATACGTATCCACCCACTTCTCAAATTGAGGTCCACATCCTGGTTCTACACCTACTCACCACTTCCTACTTTGACACTTGTACTCTGGTTGCACTTTTTCAAGTTTGGGGGAGGGAACAGAAAGATGTTGAAAGCCTTGCAGTGGTGGAAAGATGTGGTAAAGAGAAGCAAGAGAGTCTGCAAAGACACAGATAAAGGACAGCTTGCAGAGCTGGGCAAGCCATGGGACACAGCCAGGTAGGAAACTGTGGAGTGGCAAGAAAAAATATAAAGGAGAGAATGATCCAGTCTTTGGTGGGAAGAAGATCAAGTTTTAATCTGTGCAGAGTACTACATTCTACTTTTGAGTACCTGAGGAAGCAGATACAGTATGACCTTCCTTCTGACAAAGCAAATGCTACATAGCTAGGAGCTTTCTATGAAAATTATGCAATCCTTAATACACAACTATGTGTCAATGGTGAATATATTAATATTACAGCATATACAAAATATTAAGGATATAACTGCACTTGAAGTAATTTACTGGTGGAATTGTACCTAGTAATAGCATATAGTGGCATTCCTGTGGCAGTAAAATTGTGCTTTATAAAACCACTTCCTTCTTCTGTAGGAACTAGAAACTGCATAAATCAACTCAGCTGAAGCAGATGGGAGGTCTGTCTGCCTGTCTCAAGCTACATCTAACCTCACAAGTGATGCAATACAGCAAAAGCAGATCTCTGTTTTCCTGTGGACTAACTCTAGCTGCAGACTCAATGTCTTCTGGTGGAGGTCAGAGACCTTGTCCAGGTAGTCCTACTGCTGTAGAGGTGTAGGATGGTGCTGTTCAGATACGGTGACCTCCCTTCTTATCTTCTAGCTGCCCTCTATGGAATTTCCCTCCACAGCAGGTTATTCAGAGGGGATATGGCTCAGTCCATGCTGCTGCATGCTCAATTGAGCCTCACAGCACAAATCTCTGCATGGTGGCAGCCAAGACCCAACACATTATGTACAGATTGGGCAATGAGAGGCTGGGAAGCAGTGCTGTGGAAAGGGTCCTGGAGATCCTGGCTGATGACAAGTGGAACATGAGTCAGCAGTGCCCTGGCAGCCAGAAGGGCCAGTGGTGTCCTGGGGGCATCAGGCTCAGCATGGCCAGCTGGGCAAGGGAGGGGATTGTCCTGCTTTGCTCTGCTCTGCACTGGGGCAGCCTCATCTCGTGTCCTGTGTGCAGTTTTGGGCACCACAATATAAAAAAGACATTAAACTATCAGAATGTCCAAACGAGGCTACAAAGACAATGAAGGGCCTTGAGGGGAAGCTGTATGATGAGTGGCTGAGGTCACTTGGTCTGTTCAGCCTGGAGGAGACTGAGAGGAAACCTCATTGCAGTCGTCAACATCCTTGTGAGGAGAAGAGGAGCAGCAAACACTGATCCCTTCTCTGTGGTGACCAGTGACAGGACCCGAGGGAATGGTCTGAAGTTGTGTCAGGGGAGGGTTAGGCTGGATATTAGAAAATATCACCCAGGGAGTGGTTTGGTACTGGAATAGGCTCCCCAGGGAAGTTGTCACAGCACCAAGCCTGAGAGAGTTCAGAAGTGTTTGGACAATGCTCTCAGGCACATGGTGACTCTTGGGGATGGTCCTGTGCAGGGCTGGAGCTGGACTCAATGATCCTTGTGGATCTCTTCCAATTCAACATATTCTATTACATGTTTCCTCCTGCAACTTCTGTGAATGGGACAGTGAGTTTAGGAGTAATGAAGGAGCAGAAAAGGTAAAGTTTTAAGCTGCTGCTGTGTGATTTTGGTAGTTCACAAGCTCTGTTCATACCAACAGTTTCTGCAAACATCTCACTCCATACAGCAGTCAAATTTCTCAACACTCACCTGCTGGCTAAAATCTACAGCATAAGTCATGCAGTATACGACAGAGCTCACAAGCAACACATCTTACAAGCCTTTCTTTCTGTATTTAAGCTCCCAGAACAAAAGGAAAAGGTGTACCTTATGACTCATAGACATATGCTTCCCATACTGGAATGCCATGTCCTGGATCTCAGCGCTGTGCTTTGCTAGCTCCATTGCAGCCTGGCAGCTCTTGGCCAGCAAGGCACTGTGCCTGAGGAAAACCTGCTCCTTCCACCTAGATATGCCAATGTCATCTGTGAGGCAGTTCTCCTGAAAATGAAACAAAGGCTAACATGAAAACACCAAAACTGCACGTGTCAGCTCACAGAAGTTAATGGTGTGGCATGGGTGAGTACTGTGTAGTACATAACAAAACAAAACAAACCAAACTTTGGATGCCATGGTGCCAAATAAATTCTTTTAGGGATGAATAGAGGAAAGTATCAGAATAAATATATTGGCAGTTTCAAACAAAAACCTTTTCCATTTTCCTCTCAAAAAGGCAATGCAAAATATGTGGAGCTGTCAACAGATTCAATATAAATATTTTTTTTTAATTACTATATCATCACACTGAACATTAACAGTGAGCTATAGCCCTCATGAGGGACTGGGGACAAAAAAAACCTCACAACCAAAACTCCAAAACAAAACCAAAAAGTAACGCTCCCCCCCCCCCCCCCCCCCCCAGTTACCAAGAACCAACAATCCCAAACAAACTTGAGAAATCCCTACAATTTTTCCTTTGTAGTCAGGAAAAAAACTAATTGTAACACGTCTTGAAAATTCTTATAGACTGCACTGAAAAAATGAAGGGCTGTGAGAGAGGACTTGTACCTCTTCTGCTTCCATATTAAGGGTGAGGAGCAACTGAAAGTATTAAAAAATAAATAAAGTTGCAATTTAGAAGTGTCGTGGATTAATTAACTTCCTCAGGGGCTGATAGAGGCATGTCAGTTTTGCCTCTACTGAACTTTACCACCTTGACTGTAAGGTCAAAGATGCTCACTCAGCCTGTCTCAAAATCTTTAGTATCCAACATATTTATTTGGATAACTTTCCACAGTGTTTTAATTAACACAAATCAAATACTTTCTCCCAAAATCCAAATTCAGTTGCCATTCCTTTGACCCATAAGGTGTTAATATGCTACTAATTCACTCATGTCTTCAAAGCTAGACACTACTTTAATCTGTCTCACATACTGTCATGCCTTTAGGTACTCTCTAAGAAGGGGGGGGAAAACCCCAAAACCAGAAAAGATCACAGCTGTTTTGCTTAGAAAAATAAAATCAGTAATGAGAAGCTACAGAAAAAAAAAATTAAAGCATAAAAATGTTTCAAATTTTGTAATTTCTCAGTTCAGCTGAATCTGTAATATACACTAAGCCAAAAGATATTCTCTAACAAAGTAATATAAAAACCCCTCATATACAACAAACCTTTTCCCTCAAAGTGATGTCAATTAAATTACTTAGAAATGAGCAAGAAGTAATTCTGTGTGACCCTATAGTTTTCTAGCAAGGTATTATCTGTCATGAAATCAGTAACAAATGAAATAGAATCCATCCGTTCAGCTCTAATTTTCCTCCCTTATGGATATCACCCAGAAGTGCTGTGTTACAAGGGAGAGGATAATTTGAGACTAATGGAAAAAGTAGGAGAATTCTGCAATGCCAAGTAACACAGAGCTGTATCGAAATGCCTTTGCTTTCAGACATACTATTAAGTTATACAAGGAAAGTGAAGAACAGTGAAACCACATGTTTGCTATTATGCATATGACAACTTACAAAGTCAAGCCTAAACTTTCCTCTGTTTCTGTATTTTTGTTTTAATATTTTAACTCAGCCCAGAGCATGTGCAAATTCCCATGACTGGCAAAATGTCAAAATGAGCATTTAATTCAAGTAGTTTCCCATATATCAAGTCTCTTTTTTTCCATTTAGATATAGGTCAATTTATTTTAAATTTAAAATCAGGAGCTGTTGGAAGACGAAACACAATCTTTTCCTTAACAACCAATCTGCTCAGTGAAAAAACAGTACTTACTAAAATTTGCTGGATGATACTGAAAATTGGCAGTGATTTTTATAATCATTTGTTTTACATCAAATAAGAAAAAAATACTCAAGAAAGGTATCCTGAAACAATTTTGAAGTTAACAAAATATTTCAGAAGACCCATAAATTGAAAATGATTGCTTTCTGTAGCCTTTGAGCAGCAAGAGAAGTGCAAACATTATCCAATATCAACTGAAGGAACTGAAGAAGCTTAAGCAGTCATTGCAACTCAATGTATACAAGAAAATTAATTCTATGATTTGTTACAAAATTATATTCCTAAACAAGTTTCAATTTCATTAACAGGATTGAAAAAGATGGCAGAAAAAGTTACTGTCCACTACATTAACATTACATAAAAGCTTCAAGCACCTAAAATGAGCATCTAACTTCAAAAAACCCACAAGAATTGAACACATATTTGAAATCTTAAAAATATAAGTATTGTAAATCTCTGGGCTATAGAAACAAGCCAGTCATAAAAAGGTATTATATCCATATGGATGTGCATTAGTATATGAACTTGCATGCCTGAATATAGCTGATTTTAATTAAAGTACTTCTTATGGCCACAGACCCCTAAAGCTTTTGCTGCTTAAGACAGAGGCAGACACATCCTTTTTTCAGCAAAACTTTCCAACAATGACATTTTTTCCCAAGCTTAACTCTCATGTTATACATAAAGTGTCTGCCAACCACACCACATTCTTACAAGGCTATGTAGGACAACATCTAAACACTATTTTAAAAACATCAAGGGAAAACCCAAACTACTTCTAGATTGCAAAGGCTGTAAAATCTGATATCACGACAGCTCTTACTACTTCTAGAGAAATTTTCACTGCTTTGTAAGCTTTGTTTTGTTTTGTCAGCAGTGGGTATAGAAGTGGACATTAGCTGGCCCAGAAGACTCCTAAGACTTTCTTATAAAAACCTCTCTAAAGTCAAATGAAGTTGTAATTCACAGTGGTCAGACCTTTGATTAACAAATGCCTGTGGACTGACCTCATTCATAAATTCTGTCACCAAGAAATGGGTGCAGATCACAAGCACCCCCTGATGCTGACAGGGGGCAGGAAGTGGTGGATGAAGAGCTGAACCCCCCACCATCACTGGAAGAAAACAGCCATCTCCAGAGACAGTTTGCACAATGCCAGCATGAGTGCACAGGGAAGATATCCAAGTACAGCTCTGTCGACCATCACTTCCAATGGGAAATGAAGAACAGCTGAGGGCGCTCCCATTTTTCTATTGGCAAGGTCAGATACTGCTTTGTTAGAAATTGTCTAGTTGAGAATCTATTCCATTAAACTACTTCCATGATTTAAACTGTTTAAAACAATCACATCAGGAAACAAAAAACTTCTAGAAAATTAAACTGGGAATAAAATATGTGATCATAACCAACAAGAAGGGCAGCTCTCAGTGACATCATCAAGGATCCCCAGTACAAAAGCAACACTTTAAATAGCACAGTTTGATTTATCTCACCAAAGAAGACTTTTATATGAGGCTCAGCTGAAAACGTACTACAGAAATATGAATGAAAAACATGTCTTAAAAGTGCACAAACCCATTTGCAAAACCAAGAAGGAGCAGAAGTTGGAGACTTTAAACTTCAGCTATAGTTTGTAACACAGCCCATCATTTATTTCCATACCATGGCAGCTCTTTCTTAACCATCTGTTGCTGCACAAAATGATCCAAACGTCTGAATCATTTATATCAAACATTAATTCAGTTCTCAATGGGCAAATAGTCCACAGAAACACATAGAAATAATTTTACATTGCATATTCAAAGTTTAAAATTAGGTAGTTCAAGAACTTCTATTTTGCATAAATAAAATCCAGTGCAACCATGAATCACTCTACCAGCAGCAAGACCCTGTAAAACATTTCACACATGGTTCACATGAGCTTTCAGCAGATGTATTCATGCTTGCTGAACATGACAGGGCATGTTTTATTGGTCTATTAATACCTGTCTTCACTGCCTTTGGAGGAACAAGGGTGTCTGCAAATGGGTCAATAAAGCAAGCTACTGACTACTTTTATCATGACACTGTAAAAACAACAACACCTGGTTTTCAAAGAAAAGTTTATAAACTTATCATAAAGATAAATATCTCTTCACATCTGTTACTTTTACATCTCCCTGGAAAAACTTAGTATTTAAAAGAACAAAAGCAGTAAATAAATAACATTGGCCTTCTTCTAGCTATGCTCTTTTTCCCCCAAACACATTTTCCTATTCTTTTCACAGATGCTCTTTGCTCAAATTCCATATTTTATGCTTTTCTTTAGTCTTGCAACAAAAACATTTGTTTAAAAAAAGTGAAAGCTCTGGCTCTGCTGCCCTGCTAAAAGGTGGTTTACATAACTCAAAATACATTTGATTTACTTCCTATAGTAAAATAATAAACAAATCCATTAGTTAGAGTACAGACTCATAGCAGTCAGTTAATGGACATGTGCAGTATTCCAAAACATTACTCCTCAAAGCAGGGCCAGGGACCAAACATCGAAGAAGTGCACAGCTCACTGCATTTAGCCCATCCTTTTCCAGAAAATAAACTAATTTTCATTAAAAATCCTACTGTGGTCTAAAAATAAATACCTGTTAATTCACTGTTTGATACAATGACTACTTGCTACTGAGGCCTTTGTTTTTTAAACTTGTTTTACATATTAGTTATGCACAACTTTCACAAAATTGCATCAAAAATTCCTAACAGCTCTTCTGGCCATCAGTGGAACATGTTGGGAATGGTCCTGTCTAAGATAATAGCCCCATGTTGACACTATAATGAGCTTTGCTAATGCACATTTATCACAGCTACATATTCTGATGACAAGAAAAAAATCCCCAAAACCCAACCAAGTTATTTCCCCATAAAGTCCCTCATGCTTTAAGATTACAAGAGCATTCTGGAAGGTTAAGCACAAGAGCCAACACACTGAAGTCCCTCTCTTGATTCTGCTGTTTGACCTTGAGCTTCCTTGTATCTCTTACACCTGTCATGTGAATCGACAGGAATATTAAAGTAACCCCCCTCAGTATTTGTTAAATGATCTGGAATATTAAAACAGAGGGGGTTTATAGATATGACAGTATTCTCTAAGTTAGCAAACATTTTAGAAACCTTCAGCCTCTCAAAGTTGGAAACAGAGACTCAGAGCAATGGGGTTTTTTTTTTTGTTAAAAATAGATAACCACAATCACAACTGAAGGCCAGACTAGACAATTTTCAACTTTGCACTCACTAAGGCAAAATTTTTACTCCCAAATTAGACCCAGATTAAGGGAAGGCAAAGGGGAACTGGGAAGAATGTCCTTCACTTGCAGAATTTTGGGCTGAGAGGGGATATTGCAGAAAACTGCAATAGTTTATCATATCATCCCTTTCAGCTCCAGGTTATAGTCCAACATATGAGCTTAATACTGTTAATGCAGTATCTTAAACCACAGCAGCTGTTTGTTACTTTGAACATGAGTGACAAGCCTTAACCTTCAGGCTGTGTCAAAGCCTACACTTTGTAGTTTGTATTGTCACTTCAAATAACCATAAAAAGTTAAATATTTGCTTTTTCTTTCCTGGTTTCACACAGATCTAATGATTTACCTATTCAGAAAAAATGAAGCATGATCACACAGAATGTACTAAAATGGGACAGCTGTAGGATTGCACGTGGCTGTGCAGAGGAAAAACAGTGGTAATGGAGCTGTCAAATAATTATATCCATTATATGTATTCAGGAGTAAACCAGGTCTTGTAAGGTCAAATAATTCTTTGAACTTTCCTACTGGGTTATCCAAATGAAGAAGACTGAAACTTTTTTTTTTTTTTTGCAAACATGAACTAACATGAACTTAGGGTCTCAGAAAAGAAAGATTAACTTTGTGGAGATATTTTTGTCTACCGTTCAGGTAGACATTCAGCAAAGTTCAAAACAACTTGGTGCTAAGTTAGTTTATTTTATGGTACTAAAGAGCTTTAAAACAATTGCATTAAGGACATTTAACATATGAAGTACAGTTTTCTTGCCTCAGGGGAAAAAAAAAAAAAAAACAAGGTGAGAAGACATCCTTCTGCTTTTCCAAATTTAGGAAATTCCCAGCAATGAAAATACTACTACTAGCATCCCTCTGCTCTATTCCTAAAAAGAAAAATAAGTTTGACATTTGAGATTTAGTTGTGGAACAAATTAAAGCATTTGTCTTACCTCTGGGAAATGCAGTTCATAATTTTGTTTCAATCAAATTGCAATTAGGGAAGGAGGGAAGATGCACAAAGGACAGAAATAATAAGACAGACCAACAACTGAACAAGTCTATTTGCCAGTCTTTGCTAAAGAAATGTTCAGAACATGAATGGGACACTGCCTCAGCAGAACAGGGCGAGGAGAGCAGCAGGGATATGTCTCAGCACAACATAGAACTAAATTTCTCAGAGAACTAGATAGAAAAAATTAAAGCAGATGCCACAACTTGCTGTAGGTCTCATCAGAAGCCACACACTACCCATTATAAAGGCTGAACTTCAGGCACTGTCATGTAAGTGTCTCTATTATACCACCACACTAATTGTGTTTTGAGTTAACTGGGTTCCCCTTAGGAAGGGTACAGTGTACTTGCAACTCTCCTTAGACAGAAATAGTCACTGAAACAAAATAAGTCTTTGCTATTTGTAACTGGGCCAGGGCAGGGTAAATGTCATGCAGCTGCGCTTAGCTTATCTCCCACTTCCCCTTGCAATCCACACATGTGGAGGACTTCAGTAAGGCAACAGAAAATAGAAAAAGAATGATTAAGAAAGAAAAGATAAAGATCTTCTGCAGTGGAAGGAACTCAAATGAGTCCACAACATTTCTCACTTACAGAGGGGCCATGGTTTCAAGAAAATGCAGTTTCATTGCTGAGATGAACCTGTAGAGCTTTACCTCTACACATGAGAAAGCAGAAGTAGATGAGTGTTTTTTAAATATACCTGCAATCTACTTGTATTTAGAAACCTGCTGGAATATGGAAAACAACATTTCAACTATTCTTGGCAAAAATCTCAAAGATGTCATCTATTTTAACATATAATGTCTCAGTCTCTCTGCAGGCCTCTCAAGTCCTTGGGCCTTACCCGGGTCGGCAGAGAATGGGGGATGCAGCCCCACCACGGCCGACTGCGGGGAGACACTCTCTGTGCCCCGAGGGTGCTGAGGGCACTCAGGCTGGTTGCCTTTGCTGCAGCAGAGACGACCGAGACATCGGTGGAAGAGAAAGGGGCCGACTCCCAGCAGGGGTTAATCCAAGGTTTATTAAGGAGTCCCGAGGGAGCTCCTATACCTCAGGGGGGCCTCCTGCCGAGAGCCCCGGGGGATGTCCGGAGTTCACATTTAAAGGGGGGAGGAAACCAACATAGATAACATCCTACTGACCAATAGGTATCTCTGGGGGATGGGTGCTGGGGGGACAGACATACAAAACAGCGTATGGGGCAGGACTTGGGGGGCTGACCCCTAGCCTCTGGCTAATCACTCGACAACTTGGACCGAAACTTCTGGATAGGGGGCTGGGATACTGAGTGACTGACCGAGAGCAAGGGCGGGGGTTTTGGAGATCTCATCCTGGGAAAGGGATAACACAAGTAAAAGAAAAGGGGGGGGGTACAGTCTGGGATAAACCATTTGGGAAAAATATGGGAATACAAAACAAACTACTTCAAAGTATTACAAAATATAAGAACGCACTACAACAATATAACCCTGAGCATGGTCCTTGAGAGCAACACTGAAGGCTGAGGTCAGTTTATACACAGGTTAAACACAGCAGGTGCAGAAGCACCACCAAGTTCCCAATGCTGCCCTCCTGCCATGTCTCCACCCAGGATCCACTCCTGAGAGGTGCCAAAGGACATGCCAGGCATGCCATCCTTTCCATGCATCCCAGGGGCTGTCTGTGGGCAGCTCCTGAGTGTGCCATTACTGCTGTCCTGCTGGAGGCTCTCACTCAGCTCGGCAGTGTGATCATTCCCTTCCCTGGCTTCAGTCAAAAGCTCGTTTTAGTGACATGGCTTTGCTGCTGCAGAGCAGGAGAGACAGAGAGTGTCCAGGAGAGCAGCACCCTCCAGAACACAGAGCTGCTGTCCAGTGGCACTCTCCACCTGCCCACTGTGGTTTGCTTGGTGCAGAGGCATCAGGGCAGGTATCTGCTGTAGCAGCAGTCCATGAGAACAGCATTTCACCATGGTATCAATTTTGTTACATATGACAACACAGCAATAGTAAACCAGAGCTGTAATTTCAGTGCACAACACCTGCTGAACCAAAAGATTGAAGTCTCCAAGGCACATGAGACAACACCACTAGAAGTGAATCTATCTACCTTAGTGGGCTTCAAGATCGATATTCACATATACACAGTGACTGAAAACTTGCTATGATAAAACCTGTAGAGGTCATGTCAACTTTAAATCACTGATTTTATTGCATGTGTTAAGACATGCCATAAAATGAAAAAATTTAAAAAATCTCTAGTTTGAAAGTAAATGAAGAAATGAAAATGAAAAAAACTCTTTGCTCTAACATGTAAGCCTACTCAAGAATGGTCTCTAGAAATTCCCCCAAATATTCTAGTAAAGATAAAAATACCTACATCTGATTTGACCAATTTTTATTACTGTGCCTGCTGAACAATAACACAGAATATCTGCAATTGCCTTTGATGAAATACAAGATTATTTGTTGTGAAATGCTGGCAGCTATTATCTTGGCCCATGCTGACTTGAGAAAATATGTGCACAGTGACTTCTGATGGAGAAGAATGTTGCAGACATCTTTTTGTGAAAATATTTTCTTAGGATTTTCTCTCTTCTGAGAAGCTGAGGCCTCAGAAACAAAATGTAAACAATGGTTATCTGCTGCTGTGGAATGCATCAGGTGTGTCTGTGATTGGGCCATTTTGAATGTTTACAATTAATGGCCAACCACAGACCAGAAAGCTTGGACTCTCTGTCCGAGCCAGCTGCCTTTGTTATCATTCTTCTCTATTCTCTTCTGAGCTAGCCTTCTGAGAGACGAAACCTTTCCTTCTATTTCTTTTTAATATAGTTATAATGTAATATATATATATATCATAAAATAATAAATCAAGCCCTCTGAACATGGAGTCAACATTCTTGTCTCTTGCCTCATCCAAGAACCCCTGTGAAAACTGTCACAGAAGAACACAGGGCTACACACTCCTACCACTCCAGGACAAAACTCAGAAGAAAGGACATGTCATAAATTCAGGAAGAAGCATTCTGTAAACCTCTTTGGGCTTGGAAACAACAGGTTTGACATGAAAATAATAATGACGTAGACAACATTGTAATGAATACCTCTAACAGAACCTTGGCTAGGAACCTGTGGAAGCATTTGGAAATCCTGTAGTAAGATGTGCCTAGAGCTCCTGGTAATGACACATGACAGTATTCTATTAAGCACTCACAAAAACAAAATAGTTCCTCCTTGAGCATTTCTAGAAACTTCTATCAGAGCTTACAAGTGTCATAATGATGCTACTGTTGAAACCCACCAGGACTAACAACTCTTGTGCCTTCTCCCTCCTTTTATACAGGTGAGAAAGTCATCATATTTACAGTAGTCACACATTAATATCACCAAATGCCTAGGGTACATAAATCTAGTGAAATTCTTACCTCAGATGATTTTGAGTTTTCATAATATATCCCTTGAACTAAGTCACCAATAGCACTTGAAATGAGTTCCACAACCTGTAAAAGAAAAGGAGAAAAAGCCTTACATCTTTAATTATCACCAAATTGACTTACAAAGCTACTGCCAGATTTCCAGAGAGATAAACCACGAAGAAAGCTAATTGTGAAAGACTTCAAGATTTACTGAGATATATTCTGTGATATGTCTCTGCTAAAACCTCTACTACAGTAACTCTTCTATCAAAGTTTTAAGTTAATATAAATGAAAAACAAGACTTGTTTTTCTTACAGTGTGAACTATAGAGTGTATTCTCACAAGGACGTTCACAGAACTAATAAATCCCAGTTCATGAATATGAGACAGTACCTCATCTGGGCTTTGTTTTGTTTTGTTTTTTTCCTGCCAAGTAAATACTTCACAATATCTCTCCTTGGGAGCTGTTAAAATTCTAATCTTCGTGGCTAATACAGAAAAGTCAGAATCCATAGAAAGGTAACCTTTCAAACGTGATCATTTGGTATTCAGGTGCCATGGGAATGCACTGTGGATGTATTTAGTGCATGGCCTGAGGCTCAGCTGTACCACATACACTGAAAGTCTGCAACACGGGAATGTTTAAATCAGATTTATCAATCTGTATTATCTTCAGGGTTCAGGCTTTTTATTTTATTCAAGCGAAGCCTAAAAATCTGAACTTGATCCAGAATGTAAAACAAGTCGTCCACAGTCTCCCTGGAACTACTGTAAAATTTGAAGTTGTGCACATGAACTGTCTTAATTGGAACAAAATACTCAGATTTATTGTAAAATTAAATGCAGGCATTTCAAATAAGCACACCTTAAGGCTACCTCTGGTTGCTCACAAAGTTTTAATTTCTTGAATGTTTAATTTCCTATGCATATGAGTCTATATCTGATTCCTCTTTTTGCTTCCTAAAATTCAATGTAGTTCTTATTGAATTAAAAGATTTAGTTTCAATTTTTATCATTCTTGTAACTGAAGACAAGAAGTCAAATGATAACACCCTAACGGAAAGATATTCTAACATTTAGGCATGCTTTATTTGATAATAAAACCACATTTGTATGCTAGTTTTGAGTACTAGCAGAAAGGTTGTGTTTTCTTTTTTTTAAACATTGGTTCATATACATATTCATATACACACAGCAAGCGCTAACTTTAGAAATGGTGCTGATTAAAAGTCATGTTTTTTCTTGCAATGCATATGGGTTAATTTGCAAGACCTACAAAAACAGCCTGAAAAAAAAAAAATCACATTGCCCTTTAGGAAACTAGACACCGAAGAAATATTGTAGCAATATGAGCTTTGAAGGAACTGAAAGGACAATGATCCTACAGTGTTACCAGATGTGTTGAGTTATTTAAGGAGGGGGTACAGAGAAAATGAGGGGCTCTTTTTTTTTTTTTTAACAACAACCCTCACCCCCCCCCCCCCCTTTTTTTTTTAAGGTATCAGATAAGCCTTATTCCCAAATCCAGGAGGACTGAGTATCGCCAATAGGTCTATGAAAGTCTGTAACTAAATGCCCAGGATCAGATTGTATTACAGTTTATACAAGCAACATCCCAAGATTCTTCTGATGGCTAGGACACATAATACAGATCAATCACTCACTCAAAAATGTTATGGTTTGTGAAATGGTCTGAGCTCAGAGACCTACACTGGTAATACGAAGAGGAATTTACAAAGACACAGAGTCCTACTCTAAATGTCAAAGTGATAGTATGAACTTTTAACAATGCAGCTGGCTCTGGATAACTAGACCTTTTCCTCTCTTGCCTGAAATTCTAGACTGAGCAGGACCCTGTTTTGGGGTTTCTTTTTTCCACCTCTCCTCCCTCTTTTTAGTGCAACTCTACTCTCCAAGGCAATTTTAACTGGCTTAACACAAGCTTGGTGAAATATTTGTGAACAATTATATCTCTTCCTCTAAGAGTTTATAAAACATCTCAGGAGAATGACACAACAACTATTTAGAAGAATCTTTATTATGTTAAATACCATTTAGCCACATATTGAGCATTATATGTTAGTGAGAATTTAGTATTAATATTACCCCTCTTATTTCCAAATATATATAAAAATACTTTTAAGGTAATGTAAGGCTATAAAGATCACTACCAGGAATGAAATTCCAGTTTCAAGAGCACAGTGGGATGCTTGCATGAGGCTCTGTTACCTCACCAATCCTTAATCTGATCTATGAAAAGTATCTCCTGCTTAACATCAGTGGCCTGGGGTCCTGAGCGCTGGGGAAAGAAATGAGAAACGAGGAAACCAGGCAATTTTCCTCTGCATTCCAAAACGACAGAGGAAGAAAAATTATTACAGATTCAGTAGTATTCATGAAATGATACAGTGTCTAGCTCTTATGTAGCACTTTTCATCAGAAAATTTGAAAGCAATCAACATCTCCTGTTAAATTATTCCCTACTGTTTTATGTAAGGGGAAAATGGCAACAGTAAACTGATTTTCCAGAAAATCATGCAGTCTGCCAGGGTAAGAGCAGCAAAAACTATCCAAGCTGTCTTCATTCTCATTGCTGCCTTTCTGCCTGACCAGTGCTGACGTTTCTGAGATGTAAGTCTGAGGAGAGAAGAAGTTAGATGAAAAATGAAGTGCTCTCAACTGCTTCTCTTCTCATTTGACAGTTGAGCTCCATTTTAAAAAGGTTCAGAGATGAGGGAAGAGAAGAAAGAATTGCCAGAATTAGTGCTTGAAAACAGCAAATCCAAAAGATACCAAAGGCAGCCTATTCATAATCTCTCTTCCCATGGTGTTCCACTCCTCAACAGGTTTTTGAGAAGCCTGGTTCCTCGGGATGAGCAGGAGCAACCACACATTGAGAGAAAACAAACTTCCATTGTATTTTTATTTTCTACTCTGCATCAGCATCTCCCAAAGTGCTGTTTTCTGCTCCTCCAGTATCCCCATGACTGGGTATTGCCCAGGGGATGACCCATTACTTGCAGGTGACAAATGCACATGCAAGTGATTCCACAGCCTTTAAACACATTTTGCAATAGTTCTGAAATGTCTTTTTTTTTTCCTAAGGTGGAATTACTTCAACACTTTTTGTAGGGATGTGATCTCTTCTGCTTTTACAAAATGAACACAAAGGCCATCAGTTCAGGATGAATACAGGGAAAAGAGACGGATTGTTCAAGCTAAAATCTCTCCTACTATTTAGGCAGACTAAGTGGATAACATGGTGTAAATTCTGGACACAACCATTTGATTGCTCATTCCACAGCAATGCAGAACACATGCTCTGACCTCTCCAATTCATTAAAATATAAAATAGTCCAAAAGACTATGCTGTGTTTCAGTCCCAGAAGAGCTCTGAAGGGTTAAAGAGCAGAAATTTGGTGAAATTTAATTTACCCTTTTCTGGTGCAGTAACTTGTTTATCAAAAAGGCACAGCTTTAGCCCTTCAAGACTCTTTAATTTTACTTTGAGTCTAATTACTCAAGCTCAAAATTTATATCTATTACTTGAAGAAGTAAATTAAAAATGTTGGTAATTCACTTAGTTCAGAAAATTACTCAGGAAATCCAGTCAATGACTCAATGAATGTCCTCCTTTGTTTTCCTGAAATCAGAATTTGGTGTAGTTGCCTGAGGACTTATGCATAAGAGTTCAGAATTTCCAAAGCATCACACATGGTGTCACATGGGGCACATGTTCACTGTTGCAGGTACAGCAGCCCAGTTCATGACTGCTGTTGACTGTCAAGGAAGATTCAACTCTGTCTAGTGAAAAAGAGCTGTATTTTAATGGAGGTGAAACTCTATGCTAGAAGGAATGCAGGGAAATCACAGAAGACATTTTGGTACAATACTTTCTCCAGAGTTAAAAGACATGATTCAGACTCTATCAAGCACAGTAAAAAGAATGGATTCTGAGCCCCATTCATCCTTCATATGGTTTTTAAACAACCTGGATGAAAAGACAACATTGGTGCCATCAATTCAGCAATGCAAGCACTTCGCTCTCTTCACTTATCTTCAAAATATTTTGTTTAAAGTTTACTGCAACATAACACAAAACTTAGGGTTTTTTCCTGGTTTTCCTTCTGGTTTACAAAAGGAACAAATCTGAGCTCCATTCAAAGAATGGTCATTTTATTTTAAATTCAACAGATGAAATGGAATTGATTACACTGTTTCAGAATAGTAATGTGGTGTCTCTCCAGACTCTATTGGATATTTTCAATGGAAACATCACAGAAAGGATGAAGCTCTTGTGGGAAGACAGGAAGCAGCACTAGGAAGAACACAGCAATGGATATAACTGCTCCCAGCCACGCTGCTGCAGACCACCATTAAACTGGGATATGTTCACAGAGGAATTGAGGATTAAAGCGAATAACACAAATTGTACCTGCAAGTAGCATTTACTATTTTGAACAGTCTGTACCTGAATAAATGTGAATCAGAAGTCCATTTAGCATCTGACAGAGGGAATCAACTTAATGAAGCTGCAGATGTTTGTTAAACTAACAAATCAACAACCTCCTTTACCAGGGGTAGCAGTAATCAGACTCTAGACTCCAAGTGAAATACTGTTGAATTTCAAAACACTGATATTAACAAGCAGATACAGCCCATTGAGAAATTCAATATTCTTGCTAGCCAACAAGAAGTCAAATACATCAGCATTTTGATTAAAATTACAATTAACTCATTTATATTACTGCTAAAATTTTATGCATTTTACCATATTATTACACTGAAACCACTCCAGATGTTAAGGCACTTTTACAAAAAATGCTACCATGGAAAGGTTCATTTTAAAGACACGCTTTACAGCAGTGAAAAAAGAAGGGAAGATATATAATCTATTGCCCCACTTACATGGCACATCACTTTTAGCCTCTCCTGCAGTACAATGGGTATAAACACCTGATGAGAAGGAATGCAGAAGAGAGAACCAAATTCTCCTCAACAGTGCCCACTGACAGGATGAGGCAACAGGGACAAACGAAAACATGAAATGCAACCTGGATACAGGAAAACAGTCTATTGTGAG